ACCCCCCCCCCCACCCCACCACACACACACACACACACACACACACACACACTCGGGCCTTTCCCTTTAATTACAGAAAGTGGCTCAGTTTACGGTGGACGATTTATTTTGATTCAAGGATTGCACACGCGAGTAATTATTCACAGTCGTTGACGCCGCGATAGAAAGAGATCGCGCGGAAATTTATGGCTTTAAGCTATCTTTAACAATGTCTATTACTGTAATTTAATTACAGTCGCGAGTATTCGCACTAGGCAATTTCTTCATGCGAGCCAGTAAACGCGGCGGACGGTTAATGCGGTGAATTTATCTTAACTAATACGATAATACTTTTTGTTTAGGACCACTTGCAGCGACATTTCTTTCTTTTTTTTTTTTTATTAGGATTTTACTCGACAAATTTTTCCTCGTGAATACCGCGGGAGCACCTTAAAGCCCTTTTGAAGGGAAAGACAAATGACGAATGGCATTTCCGATTTTCTTCAGCAGGCACGCGAGCTTTTTCATACTAAACGCGTTCGCCCTGGCATTCGTTCTAATTGACGGTAACTTAATGACGATGCGGTTGAATCGAGGACGCGCTGTCGAGGGTGGTTTCGAGACGGGACGCCGTTTGCCTCGTAATCGCTTCTCGAGGGTTGGCGATGACGTGACATCTATCCGTCGCGTACGAGCTGCCAGGGATAAAACGTGTTTTCACCATTCTACCTACGCGACGGGTAGTAATTGACAGAAGTGCCTCGTTCTCTCGTCGAAAAGCTATCCTTTTCTTTCACCGCGCGCCGCCCTTTTCTCCCACGATAAATCAACCGCGTCCGAACTAAGCGCGTTCGTGTCTCTCGGAGTTGCTCTCCGAACTTTCGTTCGGCGGAGAGAGAGAGAGAGAGAGAGAGAGAGAGAGAGAGAGAGAGAGAGAGAGAGAGAGAGAGAGAGAGAGAGAGAGAGAGAGAGAGAGTAGTAGTAGTAGTAGTAGTAGTAGTAGTAGTAGTAGTAGTAGTAGTAGTAGTAGTAGTAGTAGTAGTAGTAGTAGTAGTAAGTAAGTAAGTAAGTAAGTAAGTAAGTAAGTAAGTAAGTAAGTAAGTAAGTAAGTAAGTAAGTAAGTAAGTAAGTAAGTAAGTAAGTAAGTAAGTAAGTAAGTAAGTAAGTAAGTAAGTAGTAGTAGTAGTAGTAGTAGTAGTAGTAGTAGTAGTAGTAGTACGTACGTACGTACGTACGTACGTACGTACGTACGTACGTACGTACGTACGTACGTACGTACGTACGTACGTACGTACGTAGTACGTAGTACGTACGTTACGTTACGTTACGTTACGTTACGTTACGTTACGTTACGTTACGTTACGTTACGTACGTACGTACGTAGTACGTAGTAGTAGTAGTAGTACGTTACGTTACGTTACGTACGTACGTACGTACGTACGTACGTAGTAGTAGTAGTAGTAGTAGTAGTAGTAGAGAGAGAGAGAGAGAGAGAGAGAGAGAGAGAGGGCGATAGAATGGAGTAGGGTGAGAGTGATTCCCTGCAGCTGTAAGCGTTTGCTTAATATCCAGTCTCGGATTCCCGTAATAGCGTAAAAATGTTTGCCCAAGAAGCGTCTGTTCCTCTCGTCGCGCCCTTCTCGAATCCAGAGAGAACAGAATCATAGGCGCCGACATGATTTCTTTGAGAAAGAGTGGCACGCACATGGAAAGAACTTTCCTTAGAAGAGCTCGGAAACTTTTCCACTTATATTTAAAGAATTAAAGAGACAAGTATGCGCATCGTTAACTTCTAACATGTATGTTACATACATTTAGCTCTCAATGAGTTTCCTTACTTTTTCATTAAAACAACTTTGCCGAGGAAGCCGCCTCCTCCGCCTCCTCCGTGCTCTTAATGAGTTTGTCAGATAATTTGCATTCCCAAAGCTAACTACAAGTTTCTGAATTAAATTTTTTTACGCGGACTTGATTCTTCGATGTAAGAACAATCAAGGGGATGCAGCGCCGATTCCCCTGCGACGCCCATGAGCGCGCTAGGTCGCGTGAATTGCGATCCGTCAACCTTCTTCCGTATTTTCCGCGTGCCGTGCACGGGGATGTATGAGCGGAGCGTACGCGCGTGTTTTCTGTGTACAGAGAGCAAACTTCGATTCTAGAGAGACGACGAGAGACGTCGAGAGACGACGGGTACCACCGGCCATTGTTGCTGTCGATGAAAAGGAAGTCGTATAACACGAGGGAATCCTATCGTCCGACACCAGGAAGGAAACGCCCGTGGCTTTTAAAGGGACGAGGGTGTTTCGCCTCCCCCTCCCGCGTGCACTCCCCCGCTCTCGATTTATACCGAAATTATGCCGCGATTTTGTATTATCGGACAGCACCGGGGAGAATATTAAAGGACGAAGGCGGGCTGATTTATCCCGGAATTATTCCCGGTTCGTATTATTCGCGTCCTTGTGTTATTCCAGTGAGCGAGCCCGCCGGTTGATTCGGCTGGATGCGCGTGAGCGATGAAAAATGTGCGGCCATGCGAAAAGTACGATGATAAACGCGGCATGAAGCGTACAGAAAAGGGTCAACGCCGCCGATCGCGGCTTCGGTGATTAATCGTGGCGCCAGGATTTTCGAGATAGGTTTCAATATCGTGGATCAGTCAAGCGTATGTCGTGAAACACTAATAAGTTTAGACATGACATTTCTTATCGATCCTCTGATATACGCCATTTATATTTTTATCTTAAACTTATATATTTAGAGTGATTACTAAACGCTTTCGCGACTCGTGCGACATAATAGGTATAAAAACCGAAATAGAAATTTTACTAATTGAAAGTGTAAGTATTTAATAAAAAAGAAAATAACCGTATTTATTAATTGTTTTAAATATATGTTGATTAAAATAAGCTATTTTAGATTTCGATTTCTAATTTAAATGCGATCAAGCAAACTGTTGTTATCGAAAGCTTTTCTCGTTTATTCTTTAATATTATTTATATCGAAAGCAATCGTAAATTCATTTGATTAAGCCGTTTTATTATTTTGGAGAATAAAGTTATTTTCATTATCGTAATAACGGATTCGCCATGTGGCGAACATTATTTTTAAATTGGGAGAAAACACATTAAATAAATATTACCAAAACGTAGTTATGTCGCATAACGTTTTCGCATAACTAAAAGTACACGATATCCATAATCCATTGGTGCATAAGCCACGAAATTAGTCACGTGTCGCTAAGCACTCGAAGCAACGATCGTGTAATTTTTATGGGAATTTCCGATGGATCTTTTACACGATTGAACCTATATGGTTTTACCTCGTATCGTGCCGGATGGTCGATTAAAACATCGCATTTTCGAACCATTTTCCACAGATATATCTGCTTTCATTTTAAATTTAAATATGGGAGAATATCAGTATTCTTCGTTAATCATGCAGTTCTAAATTATAAATTAAAATCTCGTTCATTCGAAATAATGACAATAATAATCATTTTCATTCATATGAAAGTTGATCAACTCGCAAATCTTATAGAATCATAAATGTAATACTTAATAAAATAAAGTTAATAAAATATCTATAGAACATTTAAAGCAAGAAATAATTTTTCTTATATACGCATTCATATATGCAATCGATCGATTATTTAAGAGAATTTAATTAAATAAAATAAAATAAAAAAGTTATTTTATTTTAATAATATTGAGTTTTCATTGACTTATTTCATTCGAAACTATAATAAAAAAGTACAGTGAGCCAACGAGAGTCGATTGACGTTTTTAAAAAATATTTATAAATAAGTAAAAAACAAATGGAAGGGAAGAAGAGCATTGTATATACAACAAGTTTCGGCGATGCCTTACGAGATTCCTCTTATGGTTTCCCTCTTGCTTTCAGCGTGCAATAACGAAATGCCATTGGTCTTTTTGCGTGTCCACCCTCTGTATCGCTACT